CAGATGAGGGAAACTTTGTGTTTGTCCTTGCTGAATTTCATAAGGTTCCTGTTGGCCCATTCCTCGAGCCTCCCTAGGTCCCTCTGTATGGCAGCCCTGCCCACAGCATATCCACTGTTCCCTCCAACTTGGTGTCATCTGCAAATCTGAGGAAAGAGGACTTCATCACCTCCTCGAGGTAATTGGTAAAGATGTTAAATGGGACAGTCTCAATATCTAGATCCCTATAGCACTCCACTTGTCCTCTGGGTAGAGAACAACCCATTAACCATTCTCCTCTGAGCCCAACCATCCAAGCAATTTTTACCCATCCAGACCATAACATCTTAACTCAGATCAAGAATGTTGTTGGAGACAGTGTCAAAAAGCCTGCCTAAATTTGAGGTAAATGACATCCTTTCCTCTCCCCTCATCCACAAATCCAGTCATTTTATCATAAACACAGTCAGGTCTTCAGGCATGATTTACCCTTGGTAGATTCATTCTGGTTGTTCCCAATCACTGTCTCCTTCATATCCCAGAAATGTGCTCCAAGAGGACTCGCTCCTTGAAGTTTCATGGGCACCAAAGCGAAGTTTATAGTTCCCTAGATTGTCTTTGGCCTTTTTGAAGAAGGGTGCAACATTTACTTATTTCCCATCATTAGGAACCTTCCTTGATCTCCATAACCTTTCAGTGTGATAGAGTGGTCCTGCAGTGACACCAAACCAGTTTTCTCGGCACCTTGGATGTGGTCCGTCTGGTCCCATGGAGTTTTCTGGTCAAACTCTCTCACGTATTCCCTGACTAAACACTCATCTAGTTCTCTTTGAACCCTTCCCTAAGCACATAGGAATGGGATAGCTTGTTGGTAAAGATGGCAAAGAAACCTTAGAATACCTCAGCTTTATCTGTGTCTGCTGTCACTACATCACCTCCTCCATTCAACAGTAGTTCCATGTTTTCCTTGCTCAGCCTTTTTATACTAACAGAGCCGTGGAAGCTCTTCTTGTTGCACTTCCTGTGCAAGTCTCAACTGCATTTAAGCTTTGGATCTCCTGAGGCTACCTCGAGGCTACCTCTACAAACTCAAGCAGTGTTTCTAAATTAATCCACTGTAGCCTGTTCCTGCTTCCATCTCCTCTATACTGCCTTTTTGCATTGGAGCTCCACCAAGTTCCCTGTTTAGCCACGCCAGTCTCCTAATATATGGGCTTGTAGATGTACAGTGAACACAAGACATCTGCCTAAGATCTTGCTACACCATAGCAGGAATATTTCAGCGTGTTTCCCACTCTTGGACAGCCAGGATTTTATTATCTTCTATATTCTAAAAATTGTCACTTCACTTAGTGCAAGCATTATCATCCTGCTCTCCCCAGGTCCAGAACGCACATAAGGCACAGATACCTATGGTA